GTTGTAGGACTGTCAAAAAGCACTTATTAGCTGAATCAATTCCCTTTTGAAGTACATTGATTTCCTCGTCAGACTTTGCACGGGCATCCAACTGTTTGAGTATAGGTCCAAGTTCCAACAATTTTTGGCGAACAATGAATAAGGTCAGGAATTTGACATTGAGTGTTACAACGGACATGGCTATGTAGATAACTTCACAGAAGTCGTTTAAGTTATCTGCGAGCATACTCTTGACGGTGAAACAGATGGGATAGTAAATCGGAAATAGTATTGTTATCACTATTGTATACACTTTGTAAGGAATATACCAAGGTGAAGAGGTCTTCGGTCCGCGAAATCCACTTAAGTCCCAAACGCGCCAATGATACTTGAAAGCATCCCAGCTATTAACTCTTGCTGCCATTACGAGAACTGTGCAATTGCGTGATACGATTTCTACTGTCATTGTTGGTCCGATTACAGGTGCTTTATATGTATATGGTTTTATACATACACATGTGCATATGAGTATGGAAATCGCTACATTCAGTTCCGAGTATAGGTTCATATGTATGTATGTACAAATGCGTATGTATGTATATACAAATTTTGTTCGCTAAAATTACCGTGAGAATTCCTGTTTTTGTTTGCAAGTCCTTGGAACTCGGTGAGAACCATTAACGTGACAATTTATTTCAAAACTTTATTCTTTAAACAGTAATAAACATTATTAGCAAATTGGAGTTCCAAAAGCAGAATTTTGAAAACATATATACATATATATCAGGTTCCCTGTCCTCATGCAATACATCTTTTTTCAAGGCATACGTCCCCCGTTATTTTCAGGATTCTTTATCTGATTTGATATTTTTGATATGCAAAGAGCGTAGATTATATGCTCTTATGCAAAAAAAATAAGATATTTCATTTCTCATTTATTATACATAAGGGTGGGAAATAGTTTTCGATAAGGTACGTCCTATGTATCATATTCAATCCACAACTGTTTTGTATGTTTCCACACAAAAACACTATATTTTTTGCAAAATAAGTAGAAATATGTATCTGAAGTCAGCATTGATTTTGCTCATATAAGATTAATGGACGTGTGAGACAAGGTACAAAACTGTTCCCATGAATCAGATGTGATTCATTGGACAGGGAACCTGATATAGATGTATTATGTATACGGTGACCATTCGTAACGAGTTTGGCGCGACAGTACTGATTTTGAGAAAATTTGTCCCGCTGAATATTTTTTTAAAGTCGGGACGTATAAGTGTCCCGATTTTTCATATTTGTACCGATTATGTCCCGATTTTCAGTGTTTTCTTTATTAATTTAAAAAGAGTCTCCTTGTACTCTGACCCAAACAATTTTTCTTACAAACGTGGCAGCACTTTCGTTATCACAAGGAACATTGAATATAAGGAAGTCATAAACATAAGCAGCATCTTTATTTTCTATGAACTTTGGCTATGTTTTATTTTGTAAAACTGGTACCCTCTCTATATTGCAGTCTATCACTCTTCCCTGAGTTTACTAAAGGTTTTTATAATTACTAGTGTTCGCCCAGCGGTTGAAATTCAACCGCAAAAATTAAGGATAGTTTATGTGAGTTGAGTTGAGCTGGAATAACATTAGTTGGAATGGGTTAAGTGGAGGGGAGTTTAACATAACATACCATAACATAAGATTAAATAACATAACATATGTAGCATAACACACCACAATATAACATCGCACATTCTTCAGTTGTATTTCCTTTTTATGCCTATCACTTTCTTCCTCTCTATCTTTGTCTCTATCGCTTTTAATGTTTATGTTTATGTTATCTTCACCTTCATGTTCATGTTCATGTTCATGTTCATCTTCATCTCCATCTTAATATTCACCTTCGTTTATGTTTAGGTTTCTGTACTTTTATTCTAATCTTTGACTTTATCCCTTTCTTCTTCTACATATTCAACTTTACCTTCTTCCTTGCATGAATCTTAATCTTCATAAATCTGATTCCTAAACTGCTGCTTAGCCGATTTCTTTAATTCAGTATCATTATTAAAGCATACATTTAGGAGGCATTTCCGCCCCAACCATGTACATGTACGGCATTAGTGTTGGTGTCACTTTTGAATTGATTTTTTCGCTTTATGTTAAACCACAGAATAAACAGTATACAGAAGACGCATGTCGACTATCCAACCAATTTGAATTTAAGGCACGAGCGGTGAGGCAAGCAAGGGTATCACAAGCGGCGCTGCCTTTGTTACTTTAGCAGTATTTTCACTCGGCTGACGATGTTAATTCCATCGTCGCTATGACGACAAGATGTTAACTACGTTTTCCATCACGATCAGCGTTGCCGTTTTGGTACAATTGTATATTTTTTAATACTGTTTTTCTAAATTTTAATATCTGATCCTTTTTTGTTCCCAAATGCCGTATTTTGATACTTTCGGCTGGCAGAAATGAATTTTCGAAAACTATGAATAGTACTACTAGTCTAAAGGCTAATATTTTTTTATTGTTATTTGAAGTCTCACAATTTATATATAGATATTTATAAGTTGATTGGGTAACTCTTATAACTGTTATAGCACCCCTAAACCACACAAAAACATTACGAAATATCGAAAAAAATATATTTTTTTGAATTTAGTTTTTTTTTTACGTTTTAAAGATGAAGCTATCAATATATACAACGCACATTCATATTTCTTGCACATATTTACTTGAGCAACGTTTCTTCAAAATAAGGTTTGCGCAATTTTATGCTGTAGTAAATTCCACAATATTGACTTGTACAAGTCTCGGGTTGCGCAAGGATTTTGTGTGGTTTAGGGGCCCTATAAGTTTGTTTTTTCATTATGCAAATAAGCAGACAAAAGGAAGATATATAATTTTTTTTATAACTATGGATTTAATTATAAAATTTTATTTATTATTTGTTTTTTAAATAATAGTTTAATAAACAACAGTTTTGTTTGCTTTTGATACTTTTTCTGCTTGGCAACTGATACATTTTTTTCCAGCTCGCCGCAACGCTGATCACGATGTGTGTTTATGGCGAGATGTTAACTTCATGTTATTCATAGTGGACGTGATGTTAACTCCTCTGCTCTGTTCCGGGTCGCCATGTTATTCATAGGGTTGTAATATTACGTCCGCCGAAGAAAAATAAATTTGTATGTGGTGCGTCTTCTGTATACTGTTTATTCTGTGGTTAAACCAATTTGAAATTTGAGTTTAGCCGTAAAAGAAAACATGATAGCCTATTTGTATATAAGATAAGATACCAAAAACCAAAAAAACATATGGAAACATCATTATATTGCAATCAGCCCTATTCTGCATTTCGATTACGTTCCCGCATTCCGCTCCGCAAGAATCGAACTTAGGTATTCTGCGTTACGATCGAATCGAAACAGGAAGATGATGATAGAAAACATCTTTCGAAATCAGCTGTTTGCCTAGGAATGTGTGAAATCGAAACAAAACAAAGAAATATTTGCCACCGAATTATAGCAGCTTATGAAGTTAAAGTTTGTAAATATTTTAAAATAACTAAATATATCTAGCATCACTGTAATTTAAAAATAAAATTTCGTTTGCTCTTATTTTAGTGGAAACATAATTATAAGAATGAAATCCATAGCCGCGGCGTTATTGCTTGAAGAGGAGAACGAGTCCCAGATTGCTGATGCGGAAGTTGAAAGGCGGAGATTTAGGGACATGTTTGATCTTTTTCAGATGAGTGAAGAGTCACAAACTCATCATGAACTGTATTACTCACCGCTCAAAGTCAGTGAAATTATAAACGTTGTTTGAGCACCCCACAACATTTGCATTTACTACAGAGTGGAAGATTTGAACGCAAATGAATTCCATTTTGAAATCCGTCAGGAGGAGGGGAAGAACAAAGCTTATCCTTCCATTAGGGATGCCAGTGGCAAAAATTCATCGATGTTTTTCTTTGATTCAATGCATCGAAATTTACATCGATATTTTTCGATGCATCGAAGGGCATACATCGATGTATCGATTTGTATAGGATTTTTCAGATAATATTTCACAAAAAAATATGTTATTAACAAAATTATACAAAATTTAAAATAAATTACTGCAACTGAGCTAATTATATGTGACCTGGTCTACGAAAAGGGAGCTTACGTGCGAAAACTAGTTTTCTGTGAAAAAGCTGTTAAAAGTAAGCAACTCGTTTCGTCAGTTTCTCATTATCTCGTTAATTGTTCTCCGCGCCGGACGTCCAGTAAGTGTTGTTGTTGGTCAAGTAAGTGTTGTTGTTGGTCCAGTAAGTGTTGTTGTTGGTCCAGTAAGTGTTGTTGTTGGTCGGAATATTATTATAGTTCATCGTGTAAGTTGCTAGTGTGGAACATTTAAAAAAGCAACACTGAAGAAGTGACGTTTACTGTTTCTGTTGATTATCGTCTTCGCATTTCGCATGAAATGACACAGGAGTGTTGATGAGGAGTTCAGTGCCGTATACGGACAATATTTCCATGAAAAGGATGATGAAAACTATGAAGAGAGCGATGATGATGAAGACGAAGTGTGTGTATCTCAGGCAGAAGATGATACCGAAAAAACTTTTGTTAAGATGGACCTGTATGTTGTTGATGTAAAGGAGGAGGAGCTGGTAACAAAATTTCTGTCAAAAGATTGTTGTAATAATGAATGCCATACACTGATACCACGGGAAATGATCGAGAGTACGCGGAACAATTGTTTAGAGATGTCGAAAAATGAACTTGATTTAGTGATACTAAGTCACATCGAAGCTGGAATTATGAGTTACGAAAAGCTAGAAAGTGTATACGCAAAGCTTGCTGGGCGGAAGAAATATGGACAGAGACAGTATACAGAAGTTATGAGGCATAGAATTCAATTTACCTTCTACAGAGTACCTGTTTGTCGTTCGTACAGTTATGAAACCAGCGGATGATCTCTGCGATGTCTGCCGTGGTAAGTAGCTCATTATTTTCTCATTTTATAGTTGTATCAAACGTTGAGATTAAATTCAGTATTTTTTCTTTTAATAGGAAACACAATATCGATTGTGCAAGCCAAAGGTGTTACTGACATTGAACGCGCACAGAAGCTTAATCAATTTCTTGATCACCTCCACCGAGCCGGAAATCAACGAGAATATTATCAAAGTTGGTGTAGAAATACTGACCCTACAGCAGTCGTTCTGTCATTTGATTTTGCCCAAACCGTTCACTACCCTGTCAGTCCACAACAACCTGGTACAGCATACTTCAAAGCAACCAAGAAGTGCGGAGTCTTCGGAATTACAGACGAAAAACAAAAAGTTCAGGTTAGAGTTTCAAACTGAATCATAGGAACTCAAATTGCTCGCCTTTACAGGATCTTACTTATATATTTTTTTTTTTACAGTACAATTACATGATAGACGAAAAAGATGACGTTGGTAAAGGACCTAACTGTGTTGTGAACATCCTGAATTATCACCTGCAAACCTACTATAAAGACATTGAAACACTCGTTCTTTTCTGTGACAATTGTGTTGGGCAGAATAAGAATAACACTGTACTATCATATCTGCAATGGTGTTTGGCTCGGGGTCTTAACAAAACTATTTTATTCAATTTTCTACTTACCGGGCACACTAAGTTCGCGCCTGATCGTTACTTCGGTATTTTCAAAAGTAAGTATGCCGTCAGTAACATCGACAAGTATGCAAATTTACTGCAGTGTGTCGAGGCATCATCACCTGGGGGTTATAATAAAGCTGTATCGGCTGAAAAAGTCGTCTGGTATGAATGGGACAGCTATTTTAAACCACTGTACAAGTCACTTGTTGGAATAACGCAATTCCATCATTTCATAATCTCTACAGATTGTGTAAAAACAAAGAAATTCGCAGACAGTGAAGAAGTGCAGTCCTTTAAGCTTCTGTTAAAACCTATCGATCCTGAAATGGCGAAATTTATACAACCAGCCGGTTTATCTTTACATCTATCACAATCTTCGAAGCTTAGTTTCGGATATATCTAAAGTAGATATTGTGGCTCCATTGCCGAAAGATTTGCCATCGAAGAAACGGAAGGCAAAAACTAGTGAAGATGTTCTCAAACCAGACGAGGAACCAGGTCCATCTTCCTCAGGATCAACACGTAAAAAGATCTCAAGGAAAACGACAACAAAGAAAAATACATAAACTACTCAGCATTATTATTTTTGGCCCATAATACGTTTTTCTAGTGCATAATCATGTCTTTATAGCTTATAATTCAATGTATTTTGTTCATTACCAATAAATTATATTTTGTCGTATTTTTACTCTTCTTTCTCTACATTTTTAGTACACTTCTAAGCAAGTTAGGATTTTCTGCTTTTCACCACGTGAAAAAGCATCTCATCTTCCATCCGAATCAACCAAAAAGTGAAAATTGATTTTTTGACACCTAAGCCCCCTTTCCGTAGACCAGGTCACATATTTGTGAAGGAACTTTTTGGAGTCGTTTCAATTTGTTGGTCAAAGTCACTTCTGTTTTTTGTACAATTGAAAAATTGAAATGCCGGTTCAATGTACTAGAGATGTCAGTTTTCAAAAAACATCGATGCATCGATGCATCGATACATCGAATGGAAAACTTTCGATGCATCGAAGCAAAACATCGATATTTTCGATGCATCGATGTTTTTTCACATCCCTACCTTCCATAGCAAATCGAATTCAAGACAACATACGCACCTCTTTTTAAAAACTTAGTAAAACCGAGTGCAATAATGAGAGCATCTTTTTTATGTAACTTCATATTTTATGTATGTATGTAAGTATGTACATACTTCTATTAATTTTTTATACAAAGAATAAATTGTATTCAGTGCACTTCACAGTCTTATTTATAGATAATGAAAACAAAAACGCCTGTGCTTCCTCTTTGAAACCCTCGCGCAAGGGATATTGCATTTGAGCCAATTTTTCGTATTGCCCGTATTACCGCTCGCGAAAACACAGAAATCGAGAAAATTCATTTATGATGACTTTTACAATCATGCACAGTATATTTTACTTACTTTTTTTTTATAAAATTGTATTATTTAAACCCACGAAAATAACAATCGAAACTTCCTCCGTCAACCAATTTGCAACTTAGAAAAACGGAACTACGATCGAAATGTCGAAGATTGATCGAAAGGAAACGGAACGCAGAATACCAAAGTTGCCAAACGGAGAAAATTTCGATTCGAGTCGAAATGCAGAATAGGGCTGAATATATTCGGGGCAGGGTTGGGCATTTTTGCACTACCGCTGAATTGCACTATCACTGTTTATTCAGTGATAGTGAAAATGCAGAATTCATTATCACTGAAAATTTAGTGATAGTGAAAAAAAAATTTCACTATCACTGAAGGTTTAGTGATAGTGAAAAACGAATTGAATTATCACTAAAACTTTAGTGATAGTTAGAAAAAACTCACCATCACTAAACTTTTAGTGAAACTAGCCAAGCGAAGATAGCCAATTTACATATGCAAGTGGAAAACGCTAATCCAAAATTACGTTATTTGTACCTAACTTTAAAATAATAAAAACTTCAAAAAAGCAAAAAAGTGTAACGCTGTTACTCTTAGGGCCTTTTTCTCAAGTAACCTGTCACTTTAAAGCTCACTTTATATTTAAAGGTTGCATTAAAATTTATAATTATTTTACTTACTTTATTTTTAATCCAACCTTTACTGTGAATTTAATATATTATCTACATATGTAAAATAATAGGTGTTTCCATGATTGCACTTAACTCAAAAACTACTGGATAGATTTCAGTCAAATTTTCAGAGATTGTACCTTGCATATATGGTCCTATTATAGGGTAGTTTAGTATAAACGAAAAAATAGCATCAAAAACGACCCTCTAAGGAAGTAAGGTTAAATCAATAGCATGTACATATATTAACTTTTTACATTTTGCTAACTCAGGTGTACAAAATTATGGAATAAATGTAATAGGCCGAAATCTGCGGAAATAATAAAAACAGTTGTATCTTCGAATCTGGATACGCCTTGCGTTACAAGATGGAACTCATTGTACGATTCGGTTCAGAAGTTAATAGAAGTCAAAAACAGATTAGGTGAACTATGTTATAAGCTGGAAATTTCTACTTTCAATGAGGAAGGAATTGAGTATTTGGAAGAATATGCAAAAGTAATGCCACCTATCGCAGAAGCTATCGACTTCCTTCAAAGAGAGCAAAATATGTTCTTTGGTTACTTTATTCCAACTTTACTGTCCATCAAAATAAAAATGCGACGTTTAGCTTCCGAAAACATGAAATATTTGACGGAAACTAATATTCAAATGCAATCAAAGCTAATGCAAAGGTTTGAAAAATATTTTAGTTTGCACTCTGACTCTTGGGATGCAGTTATTGCAGCAATTCTCATTCCCGATATCAAACTAAAATTTTGCAAAACTTTGCTGGAAGTGCTGAAGATGTTCGGGATAAATTTAAAGAATATGCGATGGAGTTTAAAAGACAACCGGTAGGGGAAGATAATAATTTACAGCCTTCCATAAGTGCTAATACATCATTTCTCGAATTCGATGAGGAGTCTACAGGTATTTGATTAAAAGAAACCAACCTCCAAAAGTTTTGTAAATAATTTGCTTTTTTAGATGAAAATCTGTATACATTTTGCCATGGCGGAGCTATAGCAACTGAAGTAGTTTTGTACCTGAATGACGAGGATAGGAGCATTGAAGCTTTGCATCGCTTTCCTACTATAAAAAAAATGTTTTTAAAATATAATACACCTCTTCCTTTATCTGCGCCAGTGGAAAGACTTTTTTCCTTTGCTGGGATTGTCAATCGATCGACAAGGCAAAATCTTTCTGACCAAAACTTTGAAATGTTGGTACTAAAAAAGGCAAATAAAAAATGAATTATGTTTTTATATTTTTGAAGCGACATACTATAATTAGTAGTCTCTTCTCAAGAACATTGTTTATTTTAAATATATTTTTTTTTCACTGCTTCAGCTAATATTTATAGTCTTACTTTATTCTTCAAGAAGAACTATGTCATAAAAATAAAGCTTGTTTACAGACAAAAGCAATGTCATTTTACTGAAAAATTTTAATTATCAATAAAGGTTTTCACTATCACTAAATATTAAGTGGTAGTGAAAATTGTTTTTCACTGTCACTAAGGGTTTAGTGATAGTGCAATTTGTTTTTAACTATCACTAAATGTTCAGTGATAGTGCAGTTTTTTTCACTATCACTAAAATTTTTAGTGATAATGGATTCTGCATTTTAACTATCACTGAATAGACAGTGGTAGTGAAAAGCGTATTGCATTAATTTTTTAGTGCATTGTGCCCAACCCTGATTCGGGGTCTTCATCAAATGTTCATCAATTTATATGAACGCCGCTATTATTTTATATATCATTATCATCTTCATCTTCATCTTCATCTTCATCTTC